AGCTGGCCAACTCCCGCATGGCCGAGCTGGAGAAGCTGCAGCTGGAGCTGCAGGCGGCCGTCAGGGGCCAGGAGAGGCTCAAGGTGACACCTGGGACATTTGGGGACACCTGGGGACATTTGGGACATCGGGGGGATTTGGGGACATTGGGAATTTTGGGGACATTTGGGGATTTTGGGGACATTTGGGGATATTTGGGGACATTGGGGACACTTGGGACATTGGGCACATTGGGGACATTGAAGATTTTGGGGACATTTGGGGCAATGGGGACATCGGGGACATCGGGGACATCGGTGGGATTGGGGAGACTTGGGACATTTGGGGACATTGGGGACATTTGGGACATCGGGGGGATTTGGGGACATTGGGAATTTTGGGGACATTTGGGGACGTTGGGGACATTGGGGGGATTGGTACATTTGAGGGATTTGGGGACATTTGGGGACATTGGGGGGATTGGGAGATTTGGGAATATTTGGGGACATTTGGGGGAATTTGGGACATTTGGGGACATCAGGAGCCAGGAGAGGCTCAAGGTGACACCTGGAGACAATTCTCAGGGACACTGGGGACATGGGGGACATTGGGGGGATTTGGGGACATTTGGGGATATTTGGGGACATTGGGCACATTGGGGACATTGAAGATTTTGGGGACATCGGGGACATTTGGGGACATAGGAGACATTGGGGATTTTGGGGACATTGGGGAGATTGAGGACATTTGGGGACATCGGAAATTTTGGGGACATTTGGGGACGTTGGGGACATCAAAGACATTTGGGGACATTGGGGGGATTGGGAGATTTTGGGACATCGGGGACATTTGGGGACATTGGGGACATTTAGGGACATTTGGGGACACTGGGATTTGGTATATTGGAGGGATTTGGGGACATTTGGGGACATTGGGGGGATTTGGGACATTTTGGTCATGGAGGACATTTTGGGGGCACTGGGGACTCAAATGGTTCCAGGGGTCACTCATTGGTCACTCATTGGTCACTCATTGGTCACCCATTGGTCACTTGGGGTCACTCAGGGTCACTCATTGGTCACTCAGGGTCACTCAGGGTCACTCAGGGTCACTCATTGGTCACTCAGTGGTCACTCATTGGTCACTCATTGGTCACTCAGGGTCACTCAGTGGTCCCTCAGCTGTGACTCAGTTTCCCCGTCCCTGCCCAATTGTCACTGCGCTCGTTACCAGGAAGCCGCTAACGAACCCCTCGCCTCCGAGGCTCCGCGGGGCGCCCCGGGCGTGACTCAGTTTCCCCGTCCCTGCCCAATTGTCACTGCGCTCGTTACCAGGAGGCCACTAACGAACCCCTCGCCTCCGAGGCTCCGCGGGGCGCCCCGGGCGTGACTCAGTTTCCCCGTCCCCGCGCAGGTGGCGCTGCGCTCGCTGCCCGAGGAGGCCGTGAAGGAGGCCCTGGAGTACAAGGTGCTGCAGTCGCAGTTCTCGCTGCTCTACCACGAGAGCCTGCAGGTGAAGACGCAGCTGGACGAGGCCCGGGCGCTGCTGCTGGCCACCAAGAACAGCCACCTGCGCCACATCGAGCACATGGAGGTGGGCCCCGCCCGTCCCCCACACCTCTGGGTGTCCCCCCGGGGTGTCCCCCGGGGGTTTTGGGGCGACTCGGGGGCGTCTGGGGTCAGGGAAATGGCAAGGATTGGGATTCAAGATGGCCGCCGGTGCCATAAATGGCGTAAGGCCGTATCCAAGATGGCGGCGGGCGGCATAAGTCCCACAATGCCTTATTCAAGATGGCGACCGGTACCACAAATCCCATAATGCCTTATCCAAAATGGCTGCCAGCACCATAGATCCCATTGTGAATCATCCAAGATGGCCGCCGGCGCCATAAATCTCATTATGCCTCATTCAATCCCATAATGCCACATTCAAAATGGCCACCGGTACCACAAATCCCATCATGCCCCATCCAAGATGGCCGCCAGCACCATAAGTCCCATAATGCCTTATCCAAGATGGCAGCCTGCACCACAAATCCCATTGTGCCTTATCCAAAATGGCTGCCGGCACCATAAATCCCCTTGTGCCTCATTCAAAATGGCCGCCAGCGCCATAGATCCCATTATGCCTCACTCAAGATGGCCGCCAGAACTACAAATCC